GAAGATTTTTAGATTGATAGCAGACTATCACTAGAATTTTCTCAGAGAATCAACGTATTGCTCAGCTTTCCCTTTTCTTTACTCAGAGAACGTTCTCCATGCAGGGACATAAAACCAGATAACCTGATACTGGACAAAAATGGCCATTTAAAGCTTTCCGATTTTGGCTTGTGCAAACCCTTAGATAAGTATTCAAATTTACTAGAAAATGAAGATATTTCTACCCAGGAAGTGTCGAATGAATCTGGAGGGCATTCTGCCAGTGAGAGACCCCCTTGGTTGATGCCAAAAGAGAAATTGCAACAATGGAAACGTAATCGCCGTGCATTGGTATGATCTCTATCCATTAGCATATTTTGATTTTTTTTCATTGCTGGAGCTAATTTGTGTAAGATGCAATTTGGCAGCATGTCAGGTTTTGACTTGTATGAATATAGCATGCAGTTCAAGCTTTTACAATCTGTTTTCTTCTGAGGCAATATTTTTTGCATGTGGCTTTACATTTATTTTCAGGCTTATTCAACTGTTGGAACTCTTGATTATATGGCACCTGAAGTGCTGTTGAAGAAGGGATATGGAATGGAGTGCGATTGGTGGTCCCTTGGTGCAATCATGTATGAGATGCTTATAGGCTATCCTCCCTTCTGCTCTGATGATCCAAGGATCACATGCCGCAAGGTTGCAATAAGTTGTGGTTCTCCATTATTTTCTTAGAATTCTTCATTTTTGCTAAATCGTTGATGTATCCGTTTTTATCAGATAATCAATTGGAAAACATGTCTCAAATTCCCCGAGGATCCAAAGATATCAAGCGAGGCCGAAGATCTTATTTGCCACTTGCTCTGTGATGTTGAGACAAGGCTGGGGACCAGAGGGGTTGAAGAATTGAAGGTATTTTTTTCCCCCAATAATTACAACATTTATCATACACATCAGACAAAGTTGCAGAAATATCTTCTCTTGTTTAACTCTTTCAACTTCCAGGATAGTGTAAGCACTAATACATAATTGAGGAGGTGAATCTGCCACCTTGAAGTTGTCTAGTTGTAAAGCATGCATGCCTCATTTTGTTCTCAATTTTGTAAATTTCTGTGTGCTATTGCTGGTTGCTTTCGGAGCTTTGATACTGCATCAATAACTTTTTACTGCAACAGAGGGGTTTGAGATGGTCAATATTCTGTTCTAAATTCTTCATTGTTTCAGGCGCATCCATGGTTCAGATGCACTCAGTGGGATTTGCTGTATGAATCGGAAGCTGCATATAAGCCTACAGTCATTGGAGATTTGGATACTCAGAACTTTGAGAAGTTTCCTGATGTGAGTACATTGAAAAAGATTCCAGCATATAATTTGTGATCTCATTTGGGATAAAATTGTACCACTGATAAGATGTAGATGTCCTTGCAAATTTGAAAGTCGTTCAACTTACCTAAGAACTTTTCCAACTATTAGCTCCACAAAGAGAGATCCCTTATCAACTATTACCTAAGAACTCGTCCACCTTTCATTCCCAGGTTCCAACATGTTTTCTTTAGTCTTAACTTTGTTCTTCTCCTCCAGTTTTGGCTGGTGGCGTAAGCTTGATCCTATAACCATCCTCCATAACCCCTGACCATTTATCTTGTGTCTGTTACATTATATTTGCTTTTCAATATAAATTGCGTTCTTATGTACATGTGGTTATGTGTTCCTTTGAATGAAGAATTTTTGCTAAGCCTTTTCTTTTTTGCAGTTGGAAGGCCCACCATCAACAATACCAAGTGTGGGACCTTGGAGGAAGGTAACAACATTATTTGAAGTTTAACTTTTTATTTATGCAGAAAAGTCCTTACAGGCCGAATTATATCCACAAGTGTAAACGAAATGGCCAACAGGGTTTTTTTCAACCATGATAATGTGGATATAGTACTGTTAAATTGTATGAGAAATTGTTTCATTATTCCCATGGGTTGTCTAGGCAGCTCAACTATATAATTACCCTTATAGATTATGTGCATTAAATAATTCTATAATTTTGCCATATATGTGCAATCCTTTGCTTCTTATAAGTATGTTAGTCTGTATCCAATTTTTTCCCCATGGTTTATGTTAGTTGTGATGCTAATTTTCCAGTGTGTTTTTCTTGTTCCATGGGGCAGATGTTGACATCAAAAGATACCAATTTTATTGGATTTACTTATAAGAAATCAGACGTCCTTAAATCACTGGAAAGTTCAGGTAAGCTGTTTTGGAGTTGGGCGGCTTTTCTTTGATATCTTTGTTTTTCATTCATTCTTCTTTTGTTCATCCATTTTAGCGCATTATCCAAAATTTTCACTCGATGTAAAGGGACTCTAACCCAGCTGAATTTTGAACACTTGGAACTTAATCTGCGTTACCTTACAAAAACTGTAGAAGGGAAAAGGGAAGGCAGTGGTCATTTTGCAGTACACTTGGGAGTCAATAATTAAATATACATGATGAGTTTCTTATGTGACTTTGTCTAGTCAGGATTTTAAGCTATAAGTGCGCATGAAAAGTAGAAAGTTTTTCTCTATTCACATATATTTATGCAGATTCACAGTGGTTCGCTTGAGCACATGCGTTGTTTTTCTTAATGGTGTTCATTTTATTTGACTATGCTCAAACCGCAAATTAGCAATATATAAATACACCAGCTTTTAACTCTGGTTTCACTCCTCCCTTAGAGTTACCGCCCCGGGAACACCAGATAAGAGGGGCGTGTGTGGTTTACAGAATTGATCATACATTGCATGAGTAGCAGGGCTAGTGTCATTGACTTTGGATGCTGATTTCAGGTACAGACATGAAATTGAATGAATCCTCGAAAGCTGCATCTCTAATTTCCTTGTTCGGTATGATTCCTTTTCCTTTAATTAAAGTTCAATATGGTAGTAGTAAGCTGCATCTCTAATTTCCTTGTTAGGTATGATTCCTTTTCCTTCAATTAAAGTTCAATATGGTACTAGTGTAGAGTTATTGCACCCCCAAGGTAGCGCTGCAGTAATATATTGGAGGTGCTGCTATATCTATAATGGATTCAGCTGTTTTTATTTCCTCATGACAACTGCCTAGCCTGGCATCAACAATGCATCTTACCGTCAAATTATGTTAAAACAATTGACCAAGATTGAGTCTATTGTTCTTGATGGACAGTCCAGAGGGAGAGAAAAATTAAGTGTTAAGGTAGTTCTTTATTTAGAAGTGCTGGTAAACTGGCTTATTTTAATGTTGTCTCTCTCTTTTGGCTAATCCAGGTCAGATCGAACTTGAAGAGACTGTAATATCAGAATGTGAGCAGAAGCCGGAAACGTGAGATCCAGCTATCACACTTTGCCGCAAGTGTTGTCGGTATTCCTAGTTTTGCAATGAGAATAATCTACAAATGGGAGAATTATACGAGGCTGAATTGGCAGTAGTTGTATGAAGACAGGAACAAGCACACCATCAGCTTAAGGGGTTGATGTGTTCTGCGGCTACAATGATTTTTGCTTACACGAATGTTTTGGTACTTTAGACAAGTAAATAGTTCAATCCAATTCTAAAAAGAGCTGTCTTAGTGCTTAATTTTCCTTTACACGAGTCAGGGCCAAGTAAAAAGGCTACCTTTGAGCTGAGCTATAAAACCCGACCTGGTTAATTCATTGACTCATTGGCTAGAACTCGGCTAAGATACGGTTTTGCTCTAAACCTATCTTCGCAGATGGAACCGTTTCCACGTTCAATCACCTTGAAATAAATCATACAGCTTTTTGACGGTTCAATAAAAAAATTTATATTAAAAAATAATATAAATTAATTTTTTTAATAATTTAAATTATTATGTTGTGATGATTTTTTATAAAGTATTATAGTTTTGATGAATTTGAATTATATTATTTTTTATTTATTTAATAAAAATTAAATATAAAATAATATAAATTTATATAAATTTAAAATTTAAAATATTTCTATTTGATAAAATATATTAAAACAATAATATAAATTATATTATAAAATTTCACCGACTTTTTGAAGTTATAAGTTGTTAAATTAAATTATAAGTTATTGAAATGATATGTTTCTTTAAAAAGATGAAACACTCATCATTACATGGGTATGTGTGTGTGGTGGTTGATATGATGCTTAGGGGCGTCCTTTCATTCACGAAGCACCAATATTCCATGGATGATGGAACTGCCTGCACCATATGATTTCCCTTGATTTTATCTCCTTTTGTGGTCGAAATTGGTCAAGGAGCCTGGTCGTGTCTTTGCCCCACAATGCATTCATGTCCAGATACCATGGCCTCACTTCAACTGTACGTAGGGCCTCTTCCTCACGCTTCGAATCAGCATTTTCATTCTCAAAGTTTAAGAGCCCCACTCTACTTTCTACTGAAAATTGCATGAACCGTGTTGCTGAGATATTTCCAAGATTATCCGCTCTTCTATCACTGGATAATTCCAATCAATAATATTAGCCTCCCGATTTTTAATTCAATTTTCATGCTCTGCTACTCCTGCCCAGATCTTTACCCAGATACGCCGCCGTAGTGGGCTGATCACTGATAATGCCATGTGTGAAAGAAAAAGTGAAAATTAATTACCTCCGATTTCGTTAATTATTCATAAAAACACATTTCCTTTAAAAGGTTCAGGTAAAAAAAAATCATCCGAGACGTGAGGCTAGCTAGTTTGGGGAGAAAAATTATATCTGTCCAAGCAATGCAGACACGTGATAGGAGCGACCAAAAAATTGAGAAGATGTCTAGCTCATGGTTTTCATTAATACCTGAATCGAGAATCTGGTTTAATTACTTTTATTAAAACAGTAATATTTTTTTATAAGATATAGTTTTTTTTTTGGTCTAGTAAATGATCAATTTCTTAAATCAACTTTTAAGCTTGGTTAGATTTTTAATATCTGCAGTAAATATAAAATACACTAATGTTTTTTACTGTTCTATCACAAGAGAATTCATAGTTATAAATTAAGTTGGAAATCTTGGCACTTTAAAAGTTTTTTATTCCAATCCTCAATTTTAGTCAAATTCCCGCAAAACCATGTGCGGCAAAAAACAGTAGGAATCCGATATCTCATGCAGGTAAATAGAAAAACGACAACGTGTGGATTCAACCTGCAAAAACTCCTGGTAGAAAAGCCGGATAATCATCTAATGCTAAGAAATAGCGCTGGGAGCGGGAGTTAAAGAAAAAAACTAAAATAGCGGTTTAGGTAGTTGTGAAACCTGATTTTAAATTAAGTCGGTTCATAGAATAGGATAATTAAAACAATTCTTAAATAAAATCAAAATAACATAGTTTTGATTAAAAAAATTCAAGAACAAGATTTTAATAATAGGATAGGAAGATTAACCTAAAATTTTTTAAAATTAAATTAAAATAATATAATTTTGATTAAAAAAAATGATGAGCTGAGAACTAGATTTTAACAAAGATAATAACTCAAGTTAATATTTTTAATTATTATTATTATTCCGAAACGGCATCTTAAAGGCAAAGACAAATAGAAAGACAGGAGAGGAGAGGAAGATATTTTCGATTCTCTAATGAACAAAAAAAATATCTGCCTCTGCCTTAGCGCTAAATGGTCTGCGTTACTGACATGGCAAGTGATGGTCCCATGACACGTGTAAAAGTGTTGACAACTGTAACGTTCTTTTGTCCCAACTCCCACTTCTCCTTCTTCACATTTTCCTTTTTATTTCTCTCTCTCTCTCTGATTTTTTTGGGTTCTCTGAATCTGAAGATTCAATCCTTTAATAGCGTCAAGATATTATTTTATGGTATTCATGGATGGTTATAGAGGAAGCGAGAGACGAACGAGTTCCGAAACGTCTGAGTTAACTGGTTACGAGTCAGGCGAGTTGGCTCAACAGGTACTCTCTTCTGAGACCCTGAGTCTGAGCCTTCTTGGATATGTTGTTGCAGATTTTTTTTTATTGATTTTCATCACGGTTGGATGCCGTTTTGATTTACACCTTTTGAAGGGTGTATGATTTTTTTTATTTTTTCTTAGCTTGTAAACTGTAAAGCAAGATGTTTTTGTTTTCGTTTTTTCTTCAAACATCTAAAGCACTAAAGCATAAATGCTTTGTTACTTAATAGTTTTCCATTATAATTTGTGATTTTCTGATATCTGCGTCTGGTTTCTTTGATTTTTATGATCATGGATATCCTAAAAATAAATAAATAAAATCTTTTTGGGATTGTTTTTTAATGAAATTGTGCTAATTAAGAAAGTAGGTTTCATGATCTGTTGATTTTCATTAAATTTATCGTTGCTTGTTCTGTTGCTGAATTTAAGAAGTAATAATGTGTTGCCGACTTGTGAGGATTTTTCTTACCTCAAGATTTTTTTTCTTTTTTAACAAGATGGGTATATATGAATAATTTTTCAAGAATTCTGATCGTAATGTTAACTATACATGTCAGGATTCACCGGTGATAGCATCTATGGCTTCAGAATGGACGGATGAGAAGCATAATCTTTATCTGAAATCCATGGAGGCGTCGTTTGTTAATCAGTTGCACAATTCGATGGATCTTCTTGGTTGGCGGTCCCTGAAGGAAGGGTCGGTTCCAAATTTGTCCAGGGAAGTCAATTGTCGCACCTGTACTCCTTCTGGCGAGGTTGGAAACTAATTTCTTCTGTAAGCTTTGGTGGTTCTTCCTTTTTTGCTCTTGTTTGTGTGTGCTTGCGATTGCGTATGTGTTTCTTCCGCTGTTTTGTTCTCTCATTTCAAATTTATTCCAGTTTAAGGTTCTTCGACGTGGGAACTGGCAGAAAATCAATTTCCGAAGGCCTGATTCACAAATAAGCTCGGCAAAGGAGTCCCGTGGCTTTTTAACAAGTCCGTGGATTCAGCACTTTACATCTGTAAGAAAACCAGAAGTTGTAGCATCTCCTACTCTTCAAGAATGCGCTAACCAAAGTCGAGCAACCATATCAAATGGGAAGAAGGCAATGCTCTGCTGTCCAGAAATTAGTTCAAAACATTATCATTTAAGCAACTCCTTTTCATGTCGTCATGATTTGGTTGACAGCAACACAGGTGCTCTTAATTATATTTGCTGTTTTTCCTTCTTTTTTTCCATATCTACAATTGTTGCAACATAAAGGATTAGAGAAGAAACTGTGAGAACTCATACACATTTTCTATGAATTCTGTTGGATGATTCCTTAATCTTTTTTGTTGCATATTTAAATTTAAATTAGCAGTATCATCACTCTCCTTCTCCCATGTCACTCTGGGATGTACAGCGAAATATGTAACGTAAGCCCAGGATAATGCAGTGATCTGTAGAGTTGAAGGAAACACATATGTAAAGATAAACAGACTGGCAGAACAAAACTTTTCCCAGTATGTTGGCGTTTCTGAAAATACCACTGCAGATGTTACAAAGAATTTGAACAAGGAAATTTTATATAGGTGAAATATGAGAGTTTAGGGGCAAGAAAGTCGATAAAGCAGTTTTGATTGCGCTTTGAATTGGTGAATTATAAGAAAAACAAGAACTGAAGTGCGGAAAACATTGTTTTAGTTCATTCATGTTCACTATGGAAAAATTGAAGGGATTTGTTCAGTGGTGCAAACATGGTCGTTGGTCCTTGTGGCTATCCATGTTTAGGCTTCCTAATAAATGTTTCAACGTCAGGAAAAAAAAATACAAGTACATGCTTCAAACAGCATATTTTTTTTGCTATTAAACTGAGTGGCATCTTCATCATTCTTGTAGAGATGTCAGATCAGAACTTTGTTGATGAAGATATCAAAGGTGAAAAGGCAAGCAGTTCATTGAGTTCAAAAAAGATGAAAACTCTGAAAACTGATGCCTCAGGTAGTGACCAGGTAATCTTTAAATTTGAGTCACCCTTTCATTTGAACTCTAGCTCACAACATAATTGCAGGATTGTAGTCTCAGTTCAGCCCTCCCGTTAACTGCTATTACAGGTTGTTCCCCACGGCAAGCCTCCTGTGGCAGAAGAGGTTACTGAGGAGTGTATTTCTGCAGCAAAATAGATGACTTGCACTACTGATTAGCAAGTCGCTGGCTTGTGTGACTAACTTTCTAACCCTTGAAGTGACTGGATAAGCATATTTTTTTCCCTTTTGAATTGAGGGGGGAGGGAGATACAGTGAGGCAGTGCTAAACCTGGTTACAGCAAACAACAACTGGCATTCATTTGATGCTGATGCTACGAAGACAGGGGAGATGGAGGAATACTCTCTTGCTGTGGCTACTAATCTTTATCTGCTTATAAGTTTTTAAATGTTTTGTGGTAGTTGTATATGTTGCAAGTCAGTTATTTGAAATGTTGACACAAAGTTAGCTAATTTTGCACAACAATTAAGGTTTGTATCTGAGCTATGATGATAGTTATTGAAGTCGGAGGGTTGAGTTTTTTCTTTTGGGTGCCTGAGAACGCTGATTTTGTCCTTTTTGCAGCGGGGAAAAAAGTTAGGTTAGTTTGGATGGTATTTTAATATTGAAAATAAAGATTTAAGTGTTTAGAATATATTTGATTAAAGAGATAAGATAAATTTATTTTTATAAAAGTTTTTGTAGTGAGTTTTTTGTCAAGCAGGAATTATGGGAGATATTTTCTGTCTATCTTTATTGTATCTGTTTGTTTGTTTTTTTTTTTCAAGCTAGTTTGTTTCAAGATAATTCAGGAAGTGGTGGAATGAATCTTGATTGATGCAGCTGGTACTCGCATCTGTGTGTCTATATATATAAAGATTTAATGAAAAATGATAGCCCAATTTTGCTTCCCTATTGGGCTTGGACTTCACGGCCTTTATATTATTCCCAAGTCCCAGTACTGTGAACGACGGAGGACATTTTATTTTTCCTCGCTATTTGCTAGTTTTAAAGTCCATATGCTGCTGCTGATAACTTGACAAAAATTATTCGTGATGTAGAGACTTATTTGGAGTTATTAAACCCGGTTTCTTAATAGGTAACCTTGAATATTTTTTACTGTTTGGAGATTTTTTAATGCATAGTTGTCTTAGATGGCCTGGTCGGCTAATGAAATTGATAGAAATAAAATATTTTAATCTAATTTTATAGGTGTTCTAGTTGACTCTGTCGATTTAAAAACAACAAGATAGATATTAAAAAAATATATAAAAAATAACAAGATAACTATTAAAAAATATATAATGATGAAATTAAAGGGAAAAAAAAGATGAAATTAAAATTAAAAAAAATGGGGGGCTGAATTGAAAAGAAAAGTAAGAAATGAGTCTTATTTCATCAAATTAGGTTGTAGAAGGATCTCATTAGAAGAAGAAGAAAAGTTTAGGTGCTTCATTGTTCATATAAATAGTGAAGGACATGAAATGTTTTGGATGTATTAGGTAATCTTTAATCCCGATAAGATCAATATGAGAACAGAAACTTCAGATCTTATGATCAAAAGATGACTCTTAATAACTAAATTGCTTCATTAAGCACGACCACCCTTTTTTTCTCTTTTCTTTTACGAAAGGTAGTTACTGCTCACCCTTAGGCCCAAAGGTTTTAGGGGAAGTTCTTCTGGGCTTTGACCCAAGGAACGAACAGAGAGGGGATAAAAGTAAGTAACGTGTCTAAATGGAGATATGCTGCTAGACAATCTCTCTGGCGCCTCAGTTAAGGATTTAATCTTGCAGATTCCGCCGGCGAGCATGATGTGAACAAGGGAGATTGATTTTGATGAATGAGCAGAGTGAATAAACAAACATCGAAATCACACTACACTAGAAAATATATTGAGCAGTTTAATTCCTTATGCCTGAAAGGTAGCGATTCCTTCCTTTGTGAAAAGGGATTGGACTAGAAGTGAAAGAACGGCTGCGAGAGAGACTTTGAAGTACTGTAATGGATGACAGGCCATAAATATAAATATCATTTCACTGTAAAGGCATGTCAGGATCCGGAGTGAAATATCGAGGAAAAGGTGGTGCATGATGGCCAAATGTTTTGACGGGGTTCCGACTCGGAGAACACGTTCTCATCGGGTGTTGTTATCACCACTGTCATCAATCACGGGTCTGCAACCAAACAACCTTACTCTTGCCCCATCATCTATAATGGTGTCGAGCTTTAGCTAACATCTCGAACCCATGGCTTGTTTCAATACTTAAAGCAGGAGCAAATCGAAGAGACTGAACACCATAGCAACATTCCGAGGCCGGGCAGTCTGATTAATACACCGAAAAGAATAATGATTTGGTGATGATGAGCCCACATTGACCATGCATGTACTAAGTAATTGATGGAGGTGTTAGTGGAACCGGTAAGAGCTGTCATGATCTTGACCATCCCAATATGATGATGATAAAATGTTGTTAGATTCCCATTTACCTTGTGATATCCACATTCCACACTAGCCAATAATTCATTAACTTTCGGGGATACCCCAGCTGGAAATTGTGATGTGGCATCCTGGAAGTTCATGGTAGGCCCCCTATATCGACCGTCTCATTGGGTGAACGCCGATGATTAGATGCCGATATTAATCAAAGGTTCTCCTCGACCACAAATTTTTTTTATACCAAGAGAATGATGAACAGCTATAGAATATCTCCCTTTTTCTCCCGCTGGTCAAATCGAGTAATTATCTGCCGTATGTTACAAAAATTAAAGAAGCCAATATATAGCTCGCCTTTTTCCCATCTTTTTCACTCCTTTCTATTGTGTAGTTTATGAGTTGGCCGAGATGTGTTTTCCCTTGGCAAAAACAAATCTTGAATACAATAATATTATCGTTTCAATGCGAGATTTCAACATGCCATGATATTCCGAAAGAAAAACTGGATTTGGATCATAAACTCAATCCATATTTAAGAGAGAATAACAAGGAATTCAACCCTACAATAACTACTAAAAGTTAATAATTCTTCACCATTATAGACAACATAAGGAAAAAAAAACAAATTAAATGAATAAACAATAAAGACAAGAAATGACTCTCATAAGAAAACACGCGGCAATACAGGAACATGTTTGCATTGCTTCTTCCACCTGCTTTCTTTTCTTTTTCCTACATATTCGTTAGGATTAGAGTTTCAATTAGAATACACTAGGATAGCCCAAGAACGTTTAACGTACGCAGGATCGATGTTTTTGTACATGTTCTGTTAAAGTGGTCTCAAGATACCTCAGATAAAACCAAAAAAAAAAGTCGGCTGGAGATAGTGTTGCCGACTTGCATATGCTGGATACAAAGATACCCAATAGGAACTCGGAAAGGGTAATTCCTAGAATTAATTTTGTACAATCAGGTAAAAAAGAATACAGTTGATCTTCTTTCTTTCGATTCTTTACTTTATTCTATGCAAGTCTTTTTAAACTTAGGAATCGACAAAGATGTTAGGGTTACAATGGTCGGACCACCGATTAACAGAGGTGAAAATATACCTGCCCAAGCGCCCGTGCAGACCCTGACATAGGATAGAAGATAGGAGCCAACGCTCCCTCTCACATGCAACAATATTCCTATACAAAAGATTGTTAAAGATCAGGGCAAGGTGCTGATTTCGCATGCTTTGTTCCTTTCTAACATTAAGTGTCCACTTAATCATCAAGAAAGGAAAGCTTGTGCCTCTTCAGCAGACAAATCGAATCCAGCTAGAAGCAAATAAGTGCAAATAAATCTAAATCTGGAAACATTCAAAGATAGATGGAAAGGAAGTGAGTTTGTTGACCTTTCAAAGATACCGTGTATCAATTGGGCGTCCAAATCATCTACAGTATAGGTTTTAGCTAGGTTATGGGTTTCATGTGATTCCCTTAGGTCATTATTTTCTAGTGTTTTCTCATTAAATGCTTTTTTTTTTAATCAAAAGAAGGAATAGAAATCCCTCTGATATCATCCAAGATGCGCATAAGATCTGATACCAGATGTACAAATTGACAGGTTCGATATATATATAGAGTGTGTGTTAAACAAGCTTTTTTGATTTTTAAACAAAATTAAAAATAATATAGTATCAAAAAATTATCTTAACTTAAAAATTTAAATTATTAGGTAAGATTCTAGAATATAATTTATATTTTTTTCTAACATATTCTTTAAAGTGAATTTAAGTTTGAAATTTATGCAAACTTACTTTATCTTGTACTTAATTTTTATCGAATACATAAAATTTAAATTCATGACCGTTTAGTTATCAATGCTTTAATATAATGTAAAGAATCATTTCAATCCAAAAATTTAAATTGTTAATTGAAACTTCAAAATATAATTTATATTATTCTCTAATAATTTTAATTTTAATTTATTAAGTAGATAAAACTAGAATTTTATAGCTCGTCATGATCTTGAGATCATTTTCATATTAAGATTTAGTTTAAAAATTGTTGTTTGGGATTTTTTTTATATTCTTATTTTAGTTAAATTATATATATATATAAAAAAAAAAAACTTATCTTGATTGAACTTTAAAATTTAAGAAATCCTAATTTTATCTTATTTGTTTGATGACTTAGGAGAAGGAGACTCATCTAGTAACAAAGATACTGCCAGCTTCCATCACCACATTCCGGTACCCCTCTATCCAAGCTAAATCCAAACCTATACAAGTGCCCCACAATTAAGCACATAAAACAAAATATAACCAATATCGAAGGGTAAACCACCTAACCCCACCCTATAGAATCACAGATATGATGCACTAGCCGCTACATAGCCAGTGGAAGCTTTAAGTGAACCATTTGGATTAACCCTCCCAACCCCTTTACTTGGAAATATCAAATCCACCTGACGCTCTGCTCTATTCAAATGACGACCGAGGCTTGATGAACTTCTTCCAGGCAAGAACAAAAGACAATAAGAAATGTTCGATGGAGGCAGCCGAGAGGATGTCTCGCTTCAAAATATTTTGACTTTGATTATATATCACTATTTTTTCTTTTTCTTTTTGCTAGTTATCCATATAAGATACGTGGTTATCTCTATTTTTTGTACACTTCTTGATAGTATCAAAGTACCAGTTATTTTGACTTTGATTATATATCACTGTTTTTTGTTCTCTTTCTTTTTCCTAGTGATCCATATAAGATCCTTGGCATCTCTATTTTTTTGTACACTTCTGATAGTATCAAAGAACCAGCTATTATAAACCATCTAGATGGTAGCCAAGTAGTAAAGACTTAGAATTAAGAGGTTTGCTTCCTCTGTGGTCTTAGATTCGAATCCTTAGTTGCTCATATGATGACTCTTAGTTGCTCATATGATGAGTTAACTTCAAGGCCTGTGGGATTAGTCGTGGTGCGCGCAAGCTGACCCGGACACCCACATTAATCTAAAAAAAGAACCAGCTATTATGACTTTTATTATATATCACTATTTTTCCTTTTCTTCTTTTTTTGCTAGTGATCTGACCCTTAGTTATTTTTATTTTTACACTGATTGATTGT